GCTCATTTACACGCTAGCAACATGCTCAAAGCGCAAAAATCAAAAGTACATAGGAAGGGATGATGACAATGTTATATTCATAGAACTGGCGGAAGAGATAGGTTTTGACACTCACTTTTAATGAATCAAACCCTAGAGAAAGTTTAAGATCTTGGGGAAGAAAGTTCCACACGTAGGGGGCATAATGTTCAAGAAATCTCTGACCAAAGCACTTGAGTTTGTATTGTGGCACTGTCAGTAGGTTCTGGTGTTGAGATCTTAGTTCCCGTGCTGGGGCATAGGCTGATATCAGCTCTCATATGTATGAAGGAGATTGCTCATGCAGAGATTTATATGTCATACAGAGAATTTTGATCTGGATCCTTGCTTTTATTGGAAGCCAGAACAGGAGTGATGTGGGATTTCTTGGAGGTGAGGGTCATGATTCGTGCTGCCGTATTTTGCACCTTTTGAAGTTTGTCGAGGAGGACATCAGGGAGTCCTACATAGGGCTGTTACAGTAGTCTACTCAGTATCAGACATCTAGCTAGACAATTAGCAGCTTCCAAGGTGATCAAGGGATTAATCATTCGGAGATTCCAGTAGCAAGTCTTGCAGACGTTATTAATCTAAGCTTCAATTAAATCTTGTGTATCCTCTGGACCAAGGACTGTAGATAATGCTGGGATATGGAATTGTCTGTCAGGCTGGCTGGGCAGCTGATTCTTGCAATAAAATCCCATCTCAGTCCAAGATATACGATATCACGATGTCTTGTTTCAAATTGTGTTCCTCCAAAATCTAGAGAATGGATTTCTGACATCTGTGCTGCCGTTGCTAGGGCAATCAGAAACAGCGTTTTCTGTGTTAACAATTCAAAGGATGTCAGCTCTAGAGGCTTGTAAATGTCACTGGTGACACTACGTTGAGATCCCAAGCAGGAGCCTTAAATTTCTCTTGTTGGTCTTCCAACTTAAACGACTTACTGACTGACTGACTGAGTTTGGTATTACGCCCCTTTTAGCAATATTCCAGCAACATCATAGCGGGGGACACCAGAAATGGGCTTCACACATTGTACCCATGTGGGGATTCGAACCCAGGTCTTTGGCGTGAAGAGCCAACGCTTTAACCACCACGCTCCCCCACCGCCCCCCAACTTAAACGAGCATAGTAGAACTAGTAATTCAGGTACTTTGGTCAACTTAACGCCGGTTTTCATGGCGATAACTGTGCTGAGCGCAGCCAAGTAGGTTTAGATTGTTGAACCTTTTAAACACCTCGTCTGTCGCAGATGACACAAGTATTCCACCACTTGAGAATGAGATGCTTTAGTTGTAGTAAATCCTTTCCGCCATGCATATAGTTTAAATTTCTTCCACCTGTCATGAATCGCGTGTCGATCTGCTTAGAGCAAATGGTACTGCCTTTGCCGATCTGGGAGAGTATCCTCTTTACTTTAGGCAAGCTGTAGTTGGAACGATGAGGGATTCCAGTGAGCTTGCTTGGTGTGCGGATGGACGAGAAGGTTCGACCACTCTGGTAGTTTGGACTTCCGAGTTCTTTGATGAGGATGGGAAACCATACCCTCGCTGGCCAGTAGGGCACGACCAAAATCAGTTGCAGCGCTGTTGTCTGGTTGATTTTCTGTAATACTTGTGGTAATAGTACTGGAAGTGGAAATGCGTACGCGTTTAGTCCATCCTAGAAGATGCTTAGAGCGTCTGTTGCCCATGCCTGAGGATCCGGCACCAGTGAGACGAATGTTGGTAGCTGTTTGTTGAATTTTGTCGCAAACAGGTCTATCAGCTGGGGATCCTAATGCCTATGATGAGCCGAAATGCTTCTGGATGTAATATCCATTCCGTCTGGGATGGTTGGAGTGGACAAGATAGAGCGTCTGTCATGACATTCTTTGCTCCTGGAATGTGACACGCCTTTATGTAGATGTTCAGGTCATCGAGAATGCTGAACAGGTGAAAGGTGATCTTTAACAAACTTATTGAATTTGTGGATCCTTGTTTGTTGATGTAAAACGCTACTGTGGATTTGTCCGTGTGGACCGTGAGCATTGTGTTGCTCAGTACCCTCGACCAATATTGTAAGGTGTTGATCACTGCTTTCTTCTCCAACTGGATGATATGGAGAAGTTCATCCTGGCTCGACCACTTCCCTGCTGCAACTTCGTTGTCGAGGTGAGCACCCCATCCCTGTAGCAACGCATCTACGTAAAGATGAGTGTTGCAGGCCGGCTCTGTTAAATAGGTTCCTCCGCAAACATTCAACTTCTGAGTCCACCACAAGAGCATACAGCATCAGGTTGCCCGGTAGTACAATCGGGTCCATACTGTACAGGTGAGCATTAACAAATCTTTGCCGTGGGCGCAACTGTAAGCTCCCTCTGCGGGTCATGTCTTGAGCTGAGGTCAGTAGACTGAGAATACATTGCCAAGTTCATAGTGCCAGCGGAGAGAGTATTGCTTGATCCTGTTTTGGTTCCAACTGTTTTGGTTCCAATTCCGATTTTAGGTGATTACTAACCATCTGCTGCAAATCATGTCCTACGTTATGGGTAAGCGGACATAGGAACCTTTGCCATGTCCGTAATGGAAGCGGAGAGACAACCAATTCTGGAATCTTGGCTTGAAGCTTATCTGATCAATCTTCCGGTAATATGTAATGAAGATGTTGTCACCAGAATACCAACAATGTGCAGCGATGATGCATAATTCGTCGTCTCTAGATCGGCAATAATCTATGATGTACTGGGACTGCCATCGATGTGAAGTCTATTTATAGTAGATTGGCTGCCGAGAGCAGAAATCGTCTAACGCTTGTCGCTGCAAGTCCCCAGATAAATAATTTCTGCTGACAGGGGAAGTCCTCTGCTACCCTGCTAAGTGGACTGTAAATGGAGCCTTTCCCACATTGAACGAGTTGTTTACAAGTTGTTTGGTACGTGAACTCCGACCTCCTTCTGCGCAGGGCGTTGTCTCTCATGGACCAATCAGATTCCAGATATATGACATCACCAGTGTTGCAACAAACTGATCACCATGGAAACTTGTGCAGTCGTTGGTTCCTTCGTCATCACTCAGTCTTGTCCGTAACCTCGCCATTTGGCTTGTCCCGGAATAACACGAGTGAACACGGGTGTAGTTGGTTGAGTAAAGCATGTGAAAATATTCGCCGCTTAGAGCTGATGTAAGTAGACTATCCCTCTGACAGTTGCGTCTCTATTCTCTCTATTCTTCAATTTCTTATTCTTCACTGAAGACAATGCAGTCTTGTACAGAATTTCTGATGAAGTTTCCACGCTGTCTTAAGCGTCCTAAAATATTCTTGCATACCCCAATTCTGTTGTAATACACATATAGGTTACTGTAACGTTGATAACTTCATCACCTCGTCGATTATAAGTCGAAACATTCATCAAAATGAATGTTAGTCTAATAACCATAGGGACGGATGCGATGTCTCGATGAGGAACTGCAATGACGCCAATCTTAGGCTGGTGTCGTCTGTGAGTATGTTCCCTCGATCTCTTGTAAACTGCACATGCATGATGTCGAATGGAGAAAATATAAATGTAGCTACATTTATGATCGAGATTCATCTTTGGTGCTTTCTCAAACGTTGTGTGACATTATTGTAACTTGCTTCACAAACATGCCTGGGACGAAGTTCTGTGATGTGGGTAGAACTTGACAAAATGCAGTGTAAGCGCTGATAAACGCTGAGGCGCTGTCTTTATCCCTGATGACAGACGTGGTTGATCATCAAACAGCTGGGTAGCTGTTGTAATTGCATGGGAAGTTCATATCACCGATGAAATAGTGTGCGTAATCGTTGATCTTAAAATCTAGATGAACATCTACTGATGATATCAGTTGATAACTTAGGGGGGTTTGCAAACCCTGTAGATGACTGCATTGTTGAAATCTGCCTGTAGATTTTTGCCATGAGGTTACTTCCTCATCTGAAAAACTGACGTCACCCTCTTCATCCAAGGCCAACTTATCCAACATCTCCTGATCCGAGGAGCCATAATGATGCATGTCCTTGCGCGCAGACCTGCGAGCAGGCGAACGGTCCCAGTGCGTGTCCCTCCTAGGGTCTTCTAAACGAGGATCCTCTAAATAGGGATCCCTCCTAGTGTCTCGTGTAAACTCTCTGAGCCTTTGCGCAGGCTGGTTCCTTGAGGTAGAGGCTCCTGATGAGAATCTGAGTGCAATGGTTACGACCATCCGTATCTTTGAACATAGTAAGATCTTGGAGAATGACTTGATCCGCTTCTGCATGAAGAGCCTTTCCCTGATGTTAGTAGAATTTTCCCAACTCCTAACTTCAGAGGGTGAAGATCTCCGGGAGTGTGGGCCTTCCTCATCATCCAAGACAGCTGTAGAAGCTGTTGTCCCTTCGCGCAGGCTGGTAGACCTAGGAGATGTCTTTGTAGCAGCTTTCTCATGTGCAAACCGGCGCTCCATCATAGACATCATCTGTTCTGTGAATTGCTTCATAAGCAATCCTGTGCATTTCTTTTACACATTTGGAATTTGAAACTTTGCACCATTATCTGTCAAACTTATCTATCCCCCACACTGCCATGCGCCCTCGCAGATAGTGAACGGTCCTGAAGCTCTTTTCTGCTTGCAAACGTCAACCCTTGATGATGATCGAAGAAAGACCAATGTCAATATTCATTATTTCATCCCCCTACTAATGTACCAGGTGCTCGTTGTATACCTGGGTAACTTAAAACATAAACAACAAAACTACAGTTTTTGATATTCGAATCTCAAATATGATGTTATTTAACATTCAGTTTTCGGTATTTGAATCCCGAATCTGAATATTACTTTTTTATATCTGGGATCCGAATCCCAAATCTGAATATCTTTTTCATGTTTTAAGATCTGTGGATAAAAAGTTTGATGACCATATTTGGTAATCCGACATTATGAGCTGTGTTACCATCATTCACAGGATAGTTTGATTTGAATATTCTAACACATACTCACACTGGACATTGATGTTGACCTGAGCTGTGTCTGACAGTCCGGGGGTGTTGGAGGCAGTACAGATGTACACTCCTCCCTGAGTCCTGGTGATAGGTCTGTCAAGTACAGCCCCATCCTTGCTGTAACCACCTGGACCTGTCCACCTGTAGCTTGTTGTTGAAGGTTTGCCTGGTGTGATGTTACTGCTACAGTCGATGTTGGGACTGGTGTTCTCTGCCACATCCTTGTTGCTGGGGACGGAGGTGATCACTGGGGCATCTGATGAACAGAGGTGACATATAAATATACATATACATCCAGCAAATCCATTTCCACAGTTGTTGGCGTGAAGATCAATAATATCTCCAATACATCAGATATATTGCATTTTGTCCAGATGTTAAATAATGTTTAGTTAGCATGAGTGTAAAGACCAAATGTTCAGTCACCGACAGTTTCTGGGTGTTATACTCTTGTGCATCGGTCACCTCACTACTCACCTCACTACTCGTTGACTCCAGGATAATGTAGCTCATAGCTCGAATCAATAAGACTGGTGTGTCATTTAAGTTTGAAAATAATACAGATACTGTTCTCAGATATTTCCATTTGCCTGGCTTTTTAAACCAAACAAAGACCTGTGGAAAAGTTTGACAGTGGCGTTATTAACTCTAACACCTGTAATTAGGACAACTAACAATATATTGCCAATGACAATTTTGGTTCCACCCGCCAAATTCAGGACAAACATTCTACAACATGAGTCCAATCCAATCACAATATTTTCACTACCCCAATTTCTAGATTCAGTCAGTGCTATTGAACGACCCCATCTAAATTACATTGCTTGACACAATACGTGAATGTGCATTACATCAGACTGAGAGGTGCCATCTAAAACAACTTGCTTAACGAAATACATGAATGTGAATAAGTGTTACAAAACTTATAAGTGTTACTAGAAAGTGCCATCTAAATTAACTTGCTTGACCGAATACATGAATGAAATTACATTAAGTGATTGACATTAAATGCAGTTATCAAACCATTCTCTGGCATCCTTTGCATTTGCTTCCGAAATCTCGTGTTTACTTCCACATTCTGTTATCTGCTGCCATAGTTACGTCACTTAGTTACCAATGACGTCATGTATCATATGCGTGCCGATTACGTCACTTTCTGAATGTCATTCGCGCCAATCTCATCTTGCCGTCAACATCATTCTGTAAAATCCCCACCCTAGCTTGCCTTGTTATTATATATTTTGCCATATAAATTCTTACACATTTCAATCCCTCTGTAAATGCTCCCAATTATAATTGTTATTGGTGAGGCGAGATTCTTGGAGGCTTAAACATATTATAACAATGTTCTAAATAGGGGTCCTACTTTTCAGTTGGATCTTATTTTCCCTCCACTTATCAATGGTGGGGACTATTTTGGCATATAAATATATTCCTACTTCTCAGCAGACATGTCTTTACCTATCATTTTGCTGCTGCTATATCCTGCTGTTGCTGGTGTCTACTCCGTAGTCGCCCAATTCAACTCCTCTTCCATAATTATTAAGTTAGGGCCCCTCCAAGAACCGCCATGCTCATGACCATTAACCCACAACAATTTTAATTATTTGTGTTGTATGCAACTACAAGGTGCCATCAAAAATAATTTTCAATAATAATGTAAATCAGTACTACATTAGACTGGTAGGTGCCATTTAAAATGATAGTTAAGATTTCAGTCTTCCTCATCTTTCCCCCCAGTATCCAACAGGCAAAAAATCTAATCACCTTTTGTCCTCAGTTCTAGCTAGCCAGTTCTAGGAAACTGTTCTCTGAAGACAATAATGGAGGGTGGCACAGCTTGGCACACTATCCTTCTTATCTTTCCGTAAGCTTCGTGGCCATTATTAACAGTCAGGGAAAGCGGCACAGGAATGCTTTGAATCTTGCTCCTATACAAGATTCGTAATTTTGAAGTTGAATTACATTAGCAACATTCCGGGAAGATGTTGTCATTCAGTGGATGCATTCAGGCATTCCCATGACGTGAAAGTGGAGTGATCTCAAGCTAATGTGTCTGGGATTGGAGTAACAATCTGGGTGTTGACATGACAACACGACAAGTATTTGTTTGTTGATCACACTTTCACCCCAGAATATCAAGCTGTTGCCTATCTTCCATGTACTATAGAGCTATAACAACCAGTAAGGAAACTAACTATAGTGCTGCAGTCTTTGTTAGCTAGTGAATGTGTTATGTGCATAACTTGCCCTCAGTGCATCCAAGTAGTTCCCAACATTTCAACATGCTCTTTTTATTGTTTGTTAGCTCACATGTGCTGATAATTTCAAAACTGATTACTTTGTTGGCTTTATGTTTATATCATTGGCATATGTAAATGACACTTTTAAGACTGTCTTCATATTGCTGGACGTGCCATCATGAAGTGCCATCATGAAGTGCCCTCAAATGACTAGACAACCCAGTATCACAAATGATCAAATAGTCCCAAAGAATAATCTGGATTAAACAATTTGAGACACAGATCAACTTAAGCTCTGTGTGTCATCATGATACCAGGGTCATATGACATATGAACTCCAGCTTCTGAAGCGAGGAGATTCACTGTATGCCGCATAAGATCGAGGTTGATTGGCTACATTGTACATGTAATTAGGTCATCCATATAACATGACACATTTGACTTGATGCCTTTCATGTCGTATAGAAGGTCTGCATCCGGTACATCCCAGTACAGTAAACCATGGTTATAAGGAACTTTAAGGAACCATTAATTTTAGTTTGCTATAACCGTGGTTGGTGCAGCTAAGATCTCTGACTTTCACAATGAGTGAAAGGAAACAGTTGTGCATGACCATTGTAGATCCTACTGCCCTTGGTCCTTGAGGGCTGGATGCAACTGGTAGGAGAGGGAAAAACAAGCAAACATTAAGGCCTTGAAAATCACTGAGTGCATCCAGAATGAGATTGTGCTGCGTGAAAGAGAGCAGTATGAAGATACATTTGTTTCGCGAAGATTCTAGTGCTCTGACTGAACAGAGAGAAAGATCTTCGGTACCGTTATGTTAGAGGACAGAAGACAATGATGGCATTATGCAGAGTCTATCCATGCAAAGCACACTCAAACTTAAAGGGCCTGTTCTGTTACACCCATTGAAGATTTTATGAACACTTCAGTCAGTTTATCAGCTATAGAGTTACCTCCCCCAGTAAACTCTTCCCAGTGGAGATAGATTTGTGAGCCCTGCATGTCGTCTGCTACCCAGCAGCTCTATTTGGGAACCAATTAACTAAAGTCAGACAATTATGCAGTCCACACAGTGTAAGTTTTGTTTCTTTTATCTGAGTAAGGTTTTTTTTTTTGTCACTTTCAGCATAACTTTTAGTCAGGAAATGAGCTTTAAATGTACTTCTAAATGTTCTGAACTTTTGCTGTGGTTTGGCTCCATTGGCAGAGGTCACAGAATTTTACTTCACTGAAAATATGATTGAATTCTCTCTTTATTGATTATTGATGTAGGAATCATTTCCATGAGTTAAATGCATTCTTTGTCTCATGTTAGAATGTATAATGTAAGAATTATAAATAAGCTAAAAGACTTTGTACAGACTAATTTCAATGACCTTTTGAACTGACAGAACTATTGTAGAACTAATTTGAACTTTTATGTCCGTTTCAGTCTTTTCACCATATACTATCAAGTACTACCACAAGAATATGTCAACTAAAAATCATCACTCATCTGTAACGCTCTTATGCATCAACAAGATTCATTAAAATCTTGATAGTTGGTTAGATGGCTGTATCATTTACAAGATTGACTAACTGGTCACAGTACAGGGCCACTGATCCAGAGGGATTATTGTTTCCAGCCAACAGTCTAATTACGAATCCTAGTTGCAAACTGGCCAGCCTCTGCTCCCTTGACCATGACGGACACGGGGACTGGGCTACTGTCCACCCTGGCAGAATTTCTTCAACCTAATCATTGGGACATTAGGAAGGGTGGATGCCCATCAGATGCCGTTATTTGAAAATATCCCCGGTAGTTCGTGTCTGATTGTAATCAAGTATCCCAGCAGTGTAGGCTTTTTCAGATTTTCAAATGTTTGGATGGTATAGTGACTGATCCAATTTGATCCTATTTCTGTGTTTTTCACCTCAATATTTAATCATGTAAAAATATGATGTCTATTATGTATGCTATGATATAAAAAATGCACATTTGGTATATTTGAATCCATTAACTAAACAACCCCACTTTGCCATTGCAAAATACATCTGAAATTTTACTTAGGTATATAGGTATATACAGTTTTTAACGAAGTACACAGCAAATGCTTACATATATTTCTTACGTAACAATGAAGTTCTGTTCGTATCTTCAAAACAGTGTCTGCCCATAAGTTTTTTTTTCAGGCAATCAAACTTGCATGCAAAACAGCGATTACTACTCTCTTGTTGTAACCCTTGTTTGGTGGTAAACCTACGCAGGTTATTTGTCATTCACTTGATGGTCAGTTAATGAATTTATAACAGGTATAATTAGTGATAACACCACTCAGATTACCCGACAAAGGTTCCCATTTAGCATTTCTTGTGCCTGGAGTAATACTCATCATTATAAATTGAGGTCTAATGTGGCAAATGTATTACATCTTATGTAATATGCGCATGGAAGTGGTGGTGGTGGTGGAATTGGGTTTAACGTCGTGCTTGAGAATATTTCGCTCATATGACGACGTGCATGCGTTTGTATGTGTATGTGCGGCTGCTTGTACTAGCCCAGACTGAAGCTGGTTTTATAGTGCTATCCCACTGTGATACCATGCCGCAGTGAAGCATGAATACCCCACTTCGACACATTATACTAACTCCGAGCCGACCAGTCCTTGTTGTACCCATTAATGCCGAGTGCCAGGCTGGGACCAACAAGTACCATATTTTAACGTCTTTTGGTATGACGCAGTCAGGGATCGAACCCGCGTCCGGGCAGACGCTCTAACCCGCATGGAAGTGCAGTAAGGGGAATTATCAGCTGAGTTACAAAACAAACATCGATCAAAGGATTAACCGATAACACGCTGATTGATAAATTGCTTTTGTCCTGTACAGAGGATTTGTCAAAAGGTAGTGTTTGTGTATGTAGATTTACTAATCTATACTGAATACACCCTGTCGTAAAGTCTCTTTGAAAAAACAACGTCCTTCCTTCAAAGGATTAACTTTTTTAAGGAATGGCGGACATCATGCA